TGCTTACTATATATGGATTGCTTCTGCATAAATTTTATGGAAGCTTTTAAATTCATGATAAGTACATTTGCTTTTATATCTCTTCTATGGAGTAAGAATTTTATAAAATGTCTCAAAAATAGATTCTTATTCTGGGTTTTAATTAGGGTTTACTATAATTATTCTTGGGGTTAATCTCATCTAATGATTTAGGAAAAAGGTGTGCTTGGTTTGCTACTATAGAAATTGTGCTGAAATCATATGGTGGCTGACTTAAGTTGTTTGGTTATGCTTGAATTATATGCATTGATTTTCCCCCCCTCTTTTTATGAATATGGTTTATGTTATCAATACCTTCTGTTATTTTCATTGAAATTTTCACCTATCCTCTCTTTTATCAAAAACTAAAAATTAGAGAATTCATAACCCTTTACATTATTTAGATAACGAAATTCATAGTACTTTCTGACTTAAAAAAAAAAAAAAAGAAATATGTTTTGGCTTGGTTTTTATTCGCATTTTATAAAAGTGCCTTTTTTTCTAAAGAGTGATTGAGTTCTATGAAGGATTAAAACCCAAGGTTATACTACGGTAGAAAAGAGAAGAAAATGGTTAGGGTCATGTTACAGTTGAAGAAAATTGAGAACAAAGCATACAAACACATAAGCTTTGCCAAAAGGAGAAGTGGCCTTGTCAAGAAAGCCTATCAACTTTCAACTCTATGTGATGTGGAGGTTGCTCTAATCATTTGTTCCCCAGCCAAAAATCTCACTCTTTTTGAGGGAAAGAAAAGGTTTAACTTAATTTGTTTAGATTTTGATGCACTGGTGAATAATTTTGTTGAATTTCATGCCTTCGATTGATTGTTGTTGCTAATAGGCCCATTTGGTATTGTGTGTATTCTAGGGTAGAAGAGGTTCTGTCACATTTTATCCAAATCCCAACAAAGAAGCACTAATGGTATGTGAATTTTGATAAAGTGGATTATGTTAATTGGAAATTTAGCTATATATATGATTTTTTAAATGAAATTGAAAACTGGAATGGTAGGACAATGTCGTGATCCATGGGGTGTTTTTTTGGTACATATCTATGGTGTTAAGAATGAGCTATATATGAAATGAAATTGTAAAAGAGAATTTTATGAGAGATCAGAGAGTATGGAGAAATCTTGGAATTTTTACACTAATACAATTCTCTATGTGTTTTTCCATATACCAACTTTTAATCTGTCCACCTGTCATCCAATTGGAAAGCCTACCAAATCAAGAGGTAAGCATTTCTTCTTAATCCAAACAATTCTGTTGCTAGTCATTGATTACATGTCATTGTTGTCTTAATGTGACAAATGTATGTGATTACTCGTAGTTAAGGCAGATCATTTCTCAGCTGAACCTGGAAGCTAGTGTCTACCATCATAACACAACTTCCTCATGGTATGTTCTGCTGTCTCACTAGAGTATTCTGTTCAATTATTGTGAGTTTTGGTTAGGTGACTGATTTGGCCTTGTAATTTTGCTTTCCTTTGTTGATCCTGGTTAGTAGTTGTGGTAGAACCATTGGAATTGTGAGTGTTGATTCTGAATTTGAGGTATATAAAGCTGATATTAATATTATCTTAATTTTCTGTTAATTATTTTTTAATAATCATAGAGTAGAAATTGATCGCTTTCTTCAATGTAGGATGTTTAGAACCAAATCCTTATTTGCAATTCCCAGTTGCAGGATGTGGAGAGGGAACTATAGTATGGACTTATATATACTTCCATATCAGAATAATAAGTTTTCCTGATATTACAATCTTAAACTTGTCCTAATGTAAATATCCTTTTGAAGGTACTTTGTAAAAAGTCCTAGCTGCATCAAATCATCGTGCGAGTTGGAATACCATGAGAAGATCTTTGAAGACAAACTGCAAGTTGTCCGTATGCACAAGGCAAGATCTATGGTTAATCATAAATCTTCTGCAACTTGTATAGCTTTCTTGTATTCTTACTACCACTTCTAATATTATAGGAAGCTTTAAAAGCACATAACAACATCCTTCTAACGCTGGACGTATGTGCGGATGCCATTATAGCCCATCTGATTGGTCCATTTTAGTTTAGCTAAGACATGAGAATGGAAATTGTATTATAAAAGGTAAGAAATAAAATCTGCATTTTTAATGATGTATACCTTTCTTCATCATATAAAAAAAAAATCATTTTTGTGTTAAATGTCGTAGGAACAACTTAAAAATTGCATGAGTGAATCTACTTCTTTTGCAAGTGCATTGGAGGAGACTACATCTTGGCGAGATGATATACTCTTTAAGGTGAAGGGATCTGACAAGAAAGGGAGGGTTTGCTGCTTAGGGAAGGTCCCAACTTTTATGTGGTTATCTCTGCAACTAAAAGGACCGTAAGTTATCTATGTCAAATTTATAATTCTTTTCTAGTTCCAGTTCCCATCTTTCTTAAGAAATAGGGAGATGAGTTTTGACTTCAACAGTAAAAGAATGCAATCTTGTATCTGGTTAGCTTCATCTGTGAAAATTCATGGGTGGATGCATGTGGACAAAAAGAATAGACTAGACTTATCTTGGTGAGAGTCTAAATTCAAAAAATGGGATGTTGTAATCAGAGTTGAGGCAGATAATATTAAACAATAGTAAACTCTAGTGGCAAGTAGGGTCCCTATATGTTCCACTTTCTTTCAAGCCATATGCAGGGAGTTCTGTCTTTAAGACAGAGTTGTACTAACTGTGTCTCCATTTCTGTTTTCCAGAAGTGAAGTTGGTAACACAGGCAAAAGCACTTCAATTGTTTCTGCACTTGGGTTTTCTAAAAGGTTTTAAATCTCTTTCACATGCCTTTGTTGTCTTCGTGATGCTATTACAAAATTATGACATGTTCTTCTATTGTAAGTCCTACTTAGTTGCTTATGTACTTTGGTGTGCTAAATTAATCTTCCTTATGTTAGCCTATTCCCCGTTGAGATAAATACCTTTCATCTTTATATTTTTTTTACTTAATAGTATTCAGGCATATCTATGGTTTTTCAAAATCTACGTTATGCATTTATGCTTTGGCCTTGTTTTATCTTATCACCTACTTTATAATTGATTGGGTATTAGTGGAGCTTTCTAGTACCTGCTCTGTTATGCCATGGTAATTATATCTGGAAACATAGAATTCTATCTTGAGATTTTCTGTTATCTGTTATTTAACAGGCTAACGACCTCTGCAATAATTGAAAGAGTTCCAAGAAAATGGCCACGTCGTGTATGGCATCCTCCATGGAAGAACTGCAGGGTAAGAAGCTTGTACTTTATGATAGGGTTGATGGTAAAAAAATTGTTTGGGTATTTTCTAAGTGTGATAGTCATAGCTAGTTGAATAATAAGTTTTGTTGATCTTTTCTTTTTCTTCTTCTTTTTTAAATGTCTTGGAGCTAATATAAGTAACATAGAATTTTCTTTATTCACTTTGATGATTGGCATATACTTGTTAGCTTAAAATTAATTATCAAATTTTTTACATCTACATCTTTTGCATCCACCCAGTTGATTACTATCCAGCTTCATTTTCAATTAGTTAGTCAAAGTAATGTTAGGTTTAGGCATGCATTACACGCATCAGAACGTAGAATTTTTTTTTTGGGTCAACCATATCAGAACACAGCTAGTCTATAAAGATAAAGATCTATACCCACAGTAAATTTTTTTAAAAATTTTTTAGGGTCTATACCAACGAAATTAGCCATCAGTAAATGTATAGGTCTATACAGACGGAAAAATTCTTAAGATTTCTTAGGGTCTATACCAACGGACAAATCTTCCATCAGAATAGATCCCAAGGGTCTATACAGACGGATTGGGCGTTGGTATAGACCCTATATTGACGGGGTTTGCACCGACTGAAAGGACTTCCGTTGGAATAGTCCCAGGAGGTGTATACAGACGGAAAAAGGGTGTATACAAACGGAAAACTTCAGTCAGTATAGATGCATCTGGTTGTAGTGACTGCCAAAATTACTTTACTTAAATAATCAAGTTTTTCATAAAAGACAAGTGGGAATGGGATCTCAGGCGCCTCTTGTTGCCGCTACCAATTTTAACCTCTTATATTTTTATTATTATGTAATTTTTTAAAAATACTCAGGCGTACCTTGTACATGCACCTTTGAGGGGAATTTTAAAGAATAAAACTTCTCCTTTCTTTTTTTTTTTTTTTAAGTGCTAGTATTTATAAGGCTTCTACCTTTTTTTTTTTTTTTTTTTTAAGTGCTAGTATTTATAAGGCTTCTACCTTTTTCTTGTTCAACGTTGGAGATTACCATTTTACAATTCAAACAACAAAATGATATTTGAGCCAAATCTAATTGAACATGGAACATAAGAAAAAGGGCATCCAAAATGGCATGTATTTAGAGAACAATGTCTCACGATCCATGTGTGCCCCATGTGGAATATTGGCATGCGTGTGGGTGTCTCTGTTTCTAATTAACTTAATTTAGCATTTTTGTACCCATATTCAATCCATTTCTGTTTCTCTTCTACTTAACATTTTGGGAAAGGCACAATCACATACCCAGAAAAGTTACGAAAATGGAAAGGACAGAACAATTCAAATCCCATTCATATACGGAATTGGAAAACTTAATTAAATAAATAATTTAGAGATACTTTCTTATATTATTTTTTTATATAATTTTATGTTGTTCCTCGTAAAATAAATAGAAGAAAAATAGATAAAAGATTTGTAAAAAAAAACAATTAATTAAATATGAAAATGAAAAATAAAAAGATGCCACCAAAAGTATGAGGAGATTGAGTTGAGGCGTGTATCAATTACTCTTTTTAAAATGTTTTGTGCCACTAGTGCAGCAGATTTTTATGGTTATGCCACTCCCAAAATACAACAACCCAACTTTCTTATTATATCTTTACAAGTACTATATTCTTGTAAAGAAAGTTCTGCCACTGTCGTAAACTCCACCAACTTGTGACTTAATGGTCGCGCGCTTCTTCTGAGATAAGGATGGCAATTTTCTCCGCGACCCGCGAAGCTCCGTGGAGATCCCCGCCACAGGGATGGAGATTCCAAGAATATTCTTATCCGTGGGGCGGGGATGGAGGCAATTTTTTACTCGTGAAATTTCGCGGGGAATTTCCTCCACCCCGTGAGGATCTGTGGGGATCCGTGGGGATCCGTATAAAAAAAATTTTATTTATATATATATTTTGTACATATGTTAACAATTAATTTTTATTTACCCAATTTAAGTTTTTTATTGAAATTTATTCAATTTAATTAGTTAATCCAATACCAATATAACTTAAATTTCACAATCCACTTTTTTTTCAATTTTTTCAAACCCAATTGTTGGCCCAACCCAATTTTTGTTTGTTAATCTAATATTCTTAAACCTAATTACCCAGCCCAATTTATAGCCCAATTTACAGTCCAATTACAGAACCCTACAAGCAGAAGGAAGTCCAATATACATAACTGGCTAACCCTAGATGCATAAGGAAATCCAATTGCCGCTTCTTGCAAATTGCTATCCCACCCTACTCCAATCAGTCTCTTCTCCTCTGCCGCGCTGCTCACCACTGCTCACTACTGCTCACACCGCTCACCTCCAGCTCCAGCTTTTGTTTGTTTATTTGTCTGTATGTCATCTTTTATCTTTCATTTTCGCTTCTCTTTTTTTTCTTTAATTTCTGTACTTCAGTTTGAGCATCAGCATGCATCAGTTAGCTATCACATATGTCCCATTACATTGCACAGATGGGTACTGTATGCCTATATGTGCATCTGATATTAAAATTTTTCATTTGGTGGTTTTGCAGCATTCGATCTTTTCAAGCAACAACAGCTCCCAGCTTGTAAACCTGTCTTGACACCAACGTGGGTGAGTGCTTGCGATCTTTTGATTTGGTAAACC